TTGGTGGTGCCGGTGTCACTGCCTCTAGAATAGCAGCTGCAAGCAAAGGCTGTTTTTTGCTGTTTGCATTTTGTTACAGAAGAGAAAATTTTCCTTAGAGTCCTTTCAGTTAGTGAAAACAGGGCAAAGGTAGGTAGGTCTTTTGCAAAATCCAAGTGGCATAACATGAACTTTCAGTTAGCAGGGGAGACCTATACAAGAATCTATGCTTTCTGCTGAAAATCAGCTTTCATGAGTTACAATGCAGTCACTGCTGATCCTTTCTGCTACAGCATACCCTCCAAAACACCTAGTAACTTAAAGTCTCTCCAACCTTTTAGTGGATGCTTGGGTAAGCAATCTTGACTTACCATAAGTAATAAAATCTTTTCTTGACTAAGTCCAGGTCATACTCACAGTGAAAAAAATACAGGTACTATAGTTAGCCAAAATAATGTAGAAATTCTCACTTTTCAGATCCAATTAAGTTTTACATGAAGTTCTTTCTTAATCGTTTGAGTTAATCTTCCTCCCTAGTGTGTTGCTAACACCTAGGGCAAGAGAAATGTGAATCCACCTTAAGATCAGAAACCCTGGAGGGAGAAGCAGCCTCTGGAAGTAAAGAGAGGAAGTGATAGCTCTGGTGCCCAGCCCATACTAACTTCCAGAAAGGTGAGGAGGCCTCTTCTGCTTTGTGAGCATGTGGAAAAGCAGGTAGTTTTTCTATGGTGGCCTCCTCTGCACTTGACCTAGTGCTGTGTACAAATTCAGTGAAAGACTGAACAACTTAAAGTTAGCTTATTGGTCCAGTAGAATGTCATTAAAATTCTGATAATTTTAGCATTTGAAATTCTGTTTAAAGTTAGTATGTCCCTTCAAATCTACCTATGCTGTTCTCGATATACTACAAGTGGAAGGATACTTTTTTGATACCATAAAAGAGGTTTTTTTTTTTAGTGCTCACAGGTTTATATTTTTAGGGTTGATATTTTTGTGTATTTTCTAAATACACAGACAAAACATTTTTGGAAGTTTACATACACATTGTAGGACACTTATACTAGGTAGGTAAATTACATTAAAAATTGGTCTTCATAAAAGATCTTTCCAATAGTCCTTTGTCAATATATGATTTATATGTAACTTCCTAAAAATCTAATAATATATTTAAAACTCCGAAATGTATGATTTTCTCAGAAAATCAATTAAAATGTACTCCACAAAACCCCTATATATACATAAAGAAAAAGTTATGGACTAACTTGAAAGCTAAAGATATTCCCTCTGAATATTTTTATTTTGGATCTTGACTTTCATGAGAAAATTCTGTCACACTTTCAAGTAATAGCCGAGTCCTATGCTATGTAAATATTTTCAGAGCACAAACTATGAAAATGTTCCTAATTGATTTTATAAAGCTATTAACCTGCCACCAAAATTTAGCAAAGTCCTTCTCATTCATTGTCTATCATAACTTCTAATCCACATATTAAGACTAGACTGACTCTAACAACATGCAAATTTTATCACATCAGGAATTAGAAATCCTACATTTTCTGAAAGGGGAAAAATGGTGGAGTAGAGCTGTTGGGTGAACCTCACACAGATAGAAACCTTAAAAGGTGACTGAAAGTGTAACAGGGTGGTCCCCAGGAAAGGGGGAGGTTCCCTTCCCCACCCAAGAGAGGGTGGAGCTGAGCAGGGAGAGGAGAAGCTGCAGAAGAGACTGAGGAAGGAAGCTGGATGGAGCCAGAAGGAGACCTGGAGGAGGCGCATGGAGCTTAGAGACACATAAAAAAACTGCGCTTGTCTTTTGGTTGTGGACTGGGTGACACAGATGTGGGTAAGACCCGTGGGGAGGTGACAATGGCAGCTTTTATCTTGATGTTAATTTTGCTCTTTTCTTTCCGGGCTTGTCTGGTTGTTTCTGACCCTTTTCTGTGGGTCCCCACTGGAAGATGCTTTAGACTTGTGACAGGCTTTGGGGCCTTGTTCTGGGCCGATCCCATATGGATGGACTTTTACCCACGAGGGGACGTGTAACTTTGGGTGCTTGATTTAAAAACTAGATTCTTTGCCTTTCCTGTATTGATTCCTAGTTGTATTAAAGTTCCTTCCCATTAAAGTCTCATATGTTTTGTGTTGATGCGGCAGATGGCAGAACCCATTTAGAATAGGCAGGTTTGCAGGGTTTGGGCTGCCCCTCTCCCTGTCCTATAACAAAAGTAGCACAGAAACCAGAGGATACTTACACTCGAAAGATCTCAACTATAACAGTAAAAGAATTGTGTTTGTGGATTTTTGCTTGAGGACATTCCCCAATCCCTGTGGGTCTGGCAGAAGAAAATGGCAGCTGCAGAACACAGTAGGGGCTAGCAGAGCAGCTGGAAATTGAAGGAGAAAGTCCTGGAAGAAAGAAAGCTGCAAAAGGGGTGAGACTATTCTATTACTCTGCCATAACTCTTGGGAACTGCATGGATGGAGTAGGAGGGAGACACTCTAGGAGACCTACTGAAAAAGCAGCAAATCACAAAGAATCAATCCGTGAAAGAGAATATTATACAAATAGGATTGGGAAGTCTCCCCACTCCCCCATCCTACGCATTCTCATATCTGAGAAATTGTAGCCTTACTAGCTTGAAATGTCAAAGCAACAGGATCAGGATCAGAACAGCTGAAAGTATAGGGGGACTTCAGGGAGAATGATCTTAAAATCTAATTCCTTGGAAGACTGCTAAACCCCACTAGCACAAGGGACCTGGCTGGAAAAGGAGCAACCGAAGTTGAAAAAAATTGAGCTGGTTCTATACACTGCTGGGAAGACAGAATTTATAGTTTTGAGTCCAGAAATATTTACTGCATGCTAGAATATAAAAAGATAATAAGAAGATGAAATGGAAACCTTAGAAGATGAAATGGAAACTAGAAGAAGCAATGTGTTACCAACAATGTTTAATTTCTAATAAAATATTACCAGACATGTAACAAAACAGGAAAGTATTAACTTTCTCTAAATGCTGTCAGATGTTGGATTTACCAGACAAATTTTCAAACCAGCAGTATAAATACAAATATCCTCAAAGAAATAAGGAGAAGCATGATCTCAATAAGCGGATAGGTAATTATCAACACATGGAAACAACAAAAAATAAAATGAAAATTCTAGAGTTGAAAAGTATGATAGAAAAAAAATATGGAAGATGAGAACATATCAGACTGGTAATGGCAGAAGAATCAGTGAGCTTGAGAATACATCAATAGAAATTATTTGAAGAACTATAAAAGAAAATTGAAGAAGATTGAATAGAACATTAAAAACCTGTGAGATAAAACCAAGTATAATATGTATGAAGTTGAAAAAAATTGAGCAGGTTCTATACACTGCTGGGAAGACAGAATTTATAGTTTTGAGCCCAGAAATATTTACTGCATGCAAGGATATAAAAAGATAATAAATTTAGAAGATGAAATGGAAACTAGAAGAAGCAATGGAGAAGCAAGGAAAGGAGAGAACAGTAAGCAAGGGTGGCGGGGGGGGACTGATTACATAAGAGCATGAGGGAAATTTCTTGGGTGACAGAAATATTTATATTTTCATTGGGTTTGTGATTATATAGTAGTATCTGTTTGTCAAAGACTATATAAAGGTACACTTAAGTTGGTAAATTTTATTTATGTGTAAATTGTATCTCAAAATTAATATAAAAACCTTTAATTCTTACAGGCATTAGGATAAATCTATATGGGAAGGTCTAGAACATCCTGCTCCTACTTACCTCTCTAGCTTTATCTTCAAACAGTCTCTGTTTACTCTCTGGTCCAGTCAGGTTGGGCTTTCTTTTTCATTTGAACACATTATATTTTCTCCCAGCTCTTGCCCTTTGTAGCTCCTCTTTCATTAAAACTCCCTCTTCTCTCAACTTACTCATCCATTAGCTATTTCTTAAGAAATAAGAAATAGATTTCTTAAGAAATCCATCCCTCAAATCTTGGACTAGGATAAGTCCTGGTATATGCTCCAAGAGCACCATTACTTTTTCACCATACTTTACCTAATAATCAAATTTGCTATTGATAATCATGTATAAAGTATGGTTCTCTCTTTTAGATTAGAAGCTCCATGAAGCCAGGAATATTTATTTTGTTTACCAGTCTGCTCACAGTGCCTAGTATCTAGGCTATTTCCCCATATTTATTGACAAATCAAGCACATAAATAAACTAAAAATCTAAAAATTCTATATAAAATGTTAGCATATGGAATTTGGCAATGTATTAAAAAATAATACATAAAATTTAAGTAGGGTTTACTTTAGGAACTAAAGGGTAGCTTAGTATTTGAAAATGTTTTATGTAATTATTACATTAATATATCAAAGGAGATAAATTATCTTCATAGATGGGTAAAGGAACTAGATGAAATTCATATATCTCCCTGTTTAAAAAAAATCTCTTAGTGAACTCAAAAAAAGATGCCTTAACACAAAGAAAATTGAAACTAACACTGTACCTAATAGTGAAACCTTAGAGATAGGGATATCCCTTACCATTTTTAGCAGGCAATATTATTCTAGAAACACTAGTCAGTGCAATAAGGTAAGGAAATGACTGTAGTATGCTATATGTATAAGCTATATGTTGTATATGGCTGTTTATCTGAAAAACCCAAGGTCATGAAATGAAAAGTGAGTTACAAAACACATGAACACAATGTAGTTAAAACAATTCAATATCAGCATGGGAATAGATGGATGGGATAATTAGAAGTGCAGAGAAGTCTTGAAATTTTTGCCACAGAAAACTTACTATGAAACTGAAAAGCATGGAAAAGCATGAATTATTCAATTAATTGTATAGGGACATTATGGACAACTAGATTCCAATATGAAGCCAAGAGGTGAAATAATATGTCACAACCTTTGTTTCTTTGCCTTTTTGTTAAGGGAAAATGGTGACTATTTTCTTTTCCATGGCTTTCATTTGCCCTGTCACCACATCCTAACGCCCCCAAGCAGGCCTTACCGGCATGGTGATCTGGATGGGCTGCCGTTCTCCACTCTTGGTTGGAGCCACACCTTCTGTGTCATATATGCCCGTATAAACGACTCTGTCCCCATCAGGCTCTTTAGACTTCAGCTCCAGTGGGACAAGTACTCCACCAATGGAAATATTCCTGCAATGTGGACTTGAGTTTACCATATGTGGTAGAAATTACCGCAGGCACCCTGGTCTGGTCTATACTACAATCCTAGGCAGGAACTCTACAAAGGAACCTTCCATTGACTAAAAGGAAATACTAGGGTGTGGTAGAAAGTTTTGAAAGCTTAGCAAGCTTGAGTCAGCCACTAACTAGTCATATGACCCCAGAGCAACTTTTGACACTTAAACTGTTTGGACTGACCTCAGTATTCTTATACAAGACTGGACTGGACTCTATCTGTCCTCTTCTTGGTTTCTCATTTGTGGAGATATTAAAAACCTACCCCGCCCATTCTCAAAAACCAGAGATTGGGACTTAGTTGTTCTGGGGTGAGATTTGGGTACTGATAAGTCTGAGATTCTCTAGGTGATTCTAATGTGCAGGTTGGGTTGAGAACCACTGAAATAGTTCTCTAGTAGTTTTTTTCTGTTTTCACAATTGAAGGCCTCAAGATTTGGAGTACTCTTCCTCAAGCCAGTCACACCAGAAATTCCAATTAGAAAGCAAAATTTTAAGCCCTACCCTAGAGTAGTCAACTAAAATCTCTAGAGTGAGGCTCAGACATCTATGGTTTAACAAGCTCTCCAGGTGATTCTGATATATACTCAAGTTTGAGAACCAATGGTTAGGCTACTAAAAAACACTTCATAAAATTAAAATGTAACTAGAAAAAAAGTTTTGTCATTAATGTAAATTTGTTTTTAGATAAGCTTGATAGATAGAGAACTACCCTAAAGAAAATTGCCTATAGGACACTTAACTTGGAGAAGAGGTTGTCAGGAAAGAAGGGAAAGGAAAACTCTGGATCATACTGAGGGGCACAGAACACTGGGAAATGTGAGAGTAATAGGTGTATGTCGCTGTGGGGGATACTGACAAATAGATGGATTCAGAGCACAACTGAGGTTTGCTTCTAGTATTAGGACCTTGAATAGGGGCCGGCTGCCTAGAAGGTCAATAAGAATTTATTGAATTAATGCCTACAAGTGGACGCTTGAACTATAAGTTGTTTGGTGGATCCAAAGTCCTTTCCTTCCCATTCTCTACTCCACCCCCACCTCCTCATCCCTGGCTCAGCATATGGCAGATAAAATAAATGCTGGTTTCTTTCTCCAGTTCATACTAAACTTCACACCAGCTCAGGCAGAAGGTGAAAGGTAAAAGGGCCCCACCCCTTGATACTTCTCTATAAGCTACTGCACCCTTCACACAGTCTTTTCAAGCTGTGATAGCAGGGAAAAGATAATCCCTGCCACTAATGATCCCCCAAACACCCTTTTGCTGTAAGAATGTTGCTGATCTCGGGCACTATCACCCAACTGAACAGACATCTCAGAAGAAAAAGGAAACATTAGGCAAGGAAAACTGTGAAACCAGGCCTAAGCAGAGAAGGCGGCCCTCTGATTTGTGATTGCTTCTTCAGCCCCTGGTCCTCAGCCACACAAGGGCGGATGAAGGGGTGGGAGCATCTTTCAGGGAACCCCAATGATTCCCCCTCCCCCACCTCCAACCTGCCGTACACCTCACACCTCAGCCTTTTTTCCCTCCTTCATCTTAGCAGCAGGACCCGTGGGGACTCCAGGACCCTGGGGATGTGTGCCTGATGGCGGCAGGCGCGCTTCATGGCGAGTGTTTCCCCACCTGGGCCACCGAGGGGCCCGCAACCAAAGCTAAACTGCAAGGTCGAGAAATTTACTAGAAACCCTTGGCTTCTGGTCGCTGTTTTAAACAACCCTCCCGGAGTTGGGTGGAGAAAACAGAGGAAAGACAAGCGAGGATAGAGGAAAGACAAGCCTAAAGCAAAAGAGGGGATCAAGAGACACGGGGAGCTGCCCTCTTCCACCCACCCCCTGGGCCCGCTGGGCGTGGCGCGAGGCTGGAGGGGCCCGAGGAGACTCAGGCCAGCCCGGGGACCTCGGTTCTCCGCACACCGCAACCCGGCCGGGCAGCCGCGGCGCGCACCCGCACTCACTCGACCTGAAGCGTGGTGGGCTTGATCTTCACCTCCACCTTGTAGGAAGAGCCGGTGAGCAGCTTGATGGTGCGGTTCTGGCCGAAGCGTTGCCCGTCCACCTTGTAGAAGACCGGGCCGTCGTTGGGCTGTATGCGCAGCGCGATGGAGAGGCGCACGATGCCCGGCAGGTCCCCCATGGCTGAGCGCGGCGCGAGCGCGGCGTCTGGAGGGCGGAGGACGGCGCGGACTGCAGCCCCGAGGCTGGAGCGCGGTGGGCGGAGAGGACGCGTTGGGAGGGAGAGGGAGGCGGCGGGGGGATGCTGCGGCTAGGATCCCGCACGGTCGCGGCCGCCGGCCCCGGCTTCTGAAGAGCAGCTCTCGAGGCTGTGGGCCCCAGCGACGCGCGGCGGGGGACAGGGCCCCTGACCCAGCTCCGAGGCGCCGAGCCGCCCCATGCCCCGCTCCCCCGGCGGCGCCTGTAGTTCACTGATGGACTCGCTCGGCCCGTAGGCCTCCGGCAGATCCGCTCGGCTGGGGGCGAGAGAGTTAATCCTGTTTACGCACCACAATCCCCTTCAGCCGAGGAAGAGGACACGTAGGCTCCTCCTTGAGCGGCGCGGGTGGGGGAGCCGAGGGCTGGGAGGCAGGGCATGGGTACTGAGATGAGGCGACCCTACGCCAAGGAAGACCTCCAGAATCTGCACAGCACCTCCGCCAGCTGAGTGATGTGGACACCATTGCTCGTGGAGCGGGCCCCGGGCCAGACAGGAGGAGGCTGAGAGGCGAAAGGGAGACGGGAAACAGAGCAGGAAATCGCTAACCAATGATTTAAATTTCAGGAAATAAGAGTCTTTCCAAAGCTTAGGGGAAATGGCCGAGGAAAACGCAATTCCATTTTAGGTGGATTGCAAACCAATGTGCACAAGAAAAAGAAAATGAAAATAACCAATACATATTCAAGGAACTGCATCTTCTTGTGGGTGTGTATGTCCTTTATTCATATTCTTGTCTCAAGGACGATACGGTGTAATGAATCACATATATTTACACAGACCTTGAAGGAAAAGCTATTAACCCTGTAGAAGGCAACGGATAGGTGTCTAAGGCATAGCTGGTGATAGTGGTCAAGATGAGTGATGGGTCAAAAGATGATTGGCAGGGACCCGTGCGGCACCGCGGCATTTAGACTGGCACATCAAACGTGACTACAGTGTCTTTATGGCAGAAATTCGTTGACAGCGCCTGATTCTGGAAGCAAGGAGGATCTCAAGAGTATTAGAGTTATTCTGGCATTAGACAGTGAGCACCTGGTTCAGCACTTCCTAGGTGGATAGTTACCAGAGCCGTGAGCTCACCTGGGGAATGGTGAAGCAGGTTACAGAGAACAAATGGGTAGGGGTGCATCTGTTTGGCAGTTTGTACCCAGTTAATACTGACTTTTTTTTTTTAATAGCGTTATCTTGAAAGTGATATGTTTCCTATATTATTCTATGAAAAACAAGTCATCTCCAACACTCGCTGCACATACGAGTGCACTACTTTTTGAATATTAAATTCTGTAGGGCTGCAGAACTTGGTGTGGTCCTTTGCTTCTCTGACTTTGGATAGATTTGTTGACCACACCATAGTTACTGACACTAAACCATGTCACTTAGAAATATCGATATACATGTATTTTTCTTCCCCTATTAACACTTCCAGGGCAGAAGCTTTGCCTAATAATCTCTACTATATGGTGTCTTCTGCAGAGGAACCCTTTACATATTTACTGATTAAACCAGGCTGTGCAGACTTCACTAGGGAAGGATGCAGTAAGACTGGAGGGAATGGCTTGAAGATATTCCTGGCAGTAGAGGCAGTTACATGGTTTTTAAGCCCAGAAGTATCACAATCAGACTTTTAAAAAAATCCCTAAATTTTAAAAACTTAATCAGTTGTGTGACATTGGGTAAATTTTATAACCTAGAAGGAAGGGTTTTCTTATCTGTAAAATGATTGGAGGAACGCAGATATTAACTTTCTGATAGGGTTATTGCCAGGGTTGAATGTGATTATACACATTCCAGGGCCTAACTCAAATATTAGCAATTGTTATTAAGTGGGCATACAAATATCAATAAACATATGTAAGAATGAAGTTCATCCATCTCTAGTAGAAGAGCCAAGAGAGTGGAAATTAAATCATCAATAGCAAAACTATTTTTGGCCTATCAACTGGGCAAAATTTTAAAATACTTAAAATTCAGTGGTGGTAAAGATTAGGGAAATTCTTTTGTAAATTGGTGGAAGAACATAATTACAAGAACCTTTTATTGAAGTAACCTGATGAATTTATTGAGCTCAATTTCATATGCATATACATATACACATATATGTGGTTTGAGTCATCAGAAGAAATAAAGCCTATCCTTCAGAAGAAATAAAGGCATCATTACATTGGATAACTGTAACATGGGTTTATATTGCAGCTTGTTATGTAGGTGTTACTGAAGCATTGATTCTAAAAATAAAAACAAAGTATAAACTGGATGCAAACTAACAAATAAATGGCTGAATAGTTTCTTATACTATGCACTTTATGCCACACTTAAAATAATAAATGATATATTGCATTGATAAACACATGTGATAAAATTGTTAATAATAAATAATTATAAAAAAATGGAATTAGGAAACCCTAGGGCAGACTTCTTTCCTATTCATTGCAATATGCCCGGCATGCACAAATGGTGCCTGGCACATAGTAGGTGCTCCATAAATATTTGTTGAATTGAATTTTTGTCCTTTTTGAAATATGTTTCTGTGTAAATTTATCTGTATCTTAAAAAGTAATTAGTTAGATCTAGATGACTTTTCTGGAATAATGCAAAGAGAAAAATTAATTTCAAATAATACCTATATGATATTTTAAAACACTAACATTTTAAACCATGTCAATTTATGTTTTTATAATAATTAAAATAATTAGCCATAAACAATTAATTTAATATTGGTTACTCTGGTATATAGTGACTGAAAATAATTCCTTCTTGGAATTTTTTAGACTTTTTGGAAGTTTCACTTTTTTCACAGCCTTTTGTTCAGTAATTTCACAATCTCAAGCTAACTTCCACCTGGCTAATGAAGAATGTTGGACATGGAGTAAGGTGTTTTCAGCGTGAATCCTGCTTCATGCAAAACATTTAAAATCCTTGTATTTCAATTTTGATACTTGCAAAATGGGAAATAGATCTTACTATTGTAAGAATTAAATGAGGAGATGGTAAGCATTTGAAAAAATATTTTTCAAATATGGTCTTAATGGGGAGCAGAACGGGCAGATGGACCGAAGACACTGCTGAGGGGAGCAGCAAGCGAGGCAGGAGAGGTCTGCCGTGCCATGTGGGTTTCTCCCTGGCCTACTGGAATGGAGCCCATGCTGCAGAGGACGTGGACAGCTTCACAGCGTTGAGCCCAACCCGCTGCACCACAGGGGAGGCCCCAAATATGGTCTTATTTTTTAAAACTTTATTTTTTAAACATCCTTGCCTATTTTTTTCAAGTATGAAGTCTTATTAATGTTAGGCATAATGAATCTAGGGATAACATTTTTGGAACTATAATAGCAAGTTCTTAAAATGGGATTAATAAAAGTTAAAGTAAATGGAAAATTTCTTGTCATTGATACAAACGTGCAAATAATATGGATACAGCATCCATGAGTTGGTGCTGTTTTCCAGTTCTGCTGATTACAGGCTGGGTAACCCAGAGCAAGCCAGTTACTTAGTCTCTTAGAGTCCTATTTTTTCACTTGTAGTATTGTGATGGTAACACATGTGAGGACACTGCAGCCAAATGAAATTATATAAACCAATAGGAGTATCAGTTACATATAGACAATAAATTGTAGCTATTTTAATTTATTTGAAAAGATATTGTATCATTAAGTTGGCTAGCATTATTATCTCAAAATTGGTTACCTTAAGCATGTCTCTCAACAGAGCAACTGTTATTACCATCATTATTATTGTCACATAGAAGAACTGGGGTGTAGGCCAGAGGTACAGGGGGTGAGAGGAGACAGAGTGGGAAGCAGAACAGGTGGATTTACTAAAATACACTGTACGGGAGCAGTGGCATGACAGGAGAGGTCTGCTGCGCTATATGTGGGTTAGCTCCCTGACTGAGGATTGAACTCAAGCTGTCGAGGTGATAGTGCTGAGACTTAACCTCTAGGCTATCAGGAAGGCCCCTTTATACCATTATTTTGGAAATTGGTAAAGTAAGCCCAAGTGAATGGTGGTCTTGGCAGAGGACTTGGGCTAATAATGTTTCATGTTCAGTGTTAAATCTGCCTGCTGAAATCGTAGGCTTCATAATGCAGTCAGCCCTGTGACACAGGACACAGTTCTCTGTGTGTGTGTGTGTGTGTGTGTGTGTGTACATACATACACGTAAAATCCAATCCTTTTACACTTAACTACTTTCATTTTTATTCATTCCATGTTCAGGCAATTTAACATCTGCAGGAGTTATTTTTTAATTATTATTACCACATAAGTGTCAATGATTTCTGATATGTAAGACTTCTTCCCTTCTCCTGCCTTGGGATGTTCACAGATGTACACAGATGGCATCACAGATCTCACTGTACATTTACAATATTACTTCCTTTCCCAGTTTCATTTGCTAGTTTTGAAGACAAAGCCCTGCTCCTGGACCAGTTGTGAAGGATCCAGATCCTACATTAGGCTCAAAGAATTTTGTAGCATGGAGACAATAGGCCTCCCCTTCAGTTGCTAGACTCTTGGGGGAATCGGGTTACCTCTTCATACAGTCATGATGCAGACACTGACTCAGTGATGGTGATCCTAAAATCAGTTTTTGTTTGCATTTGCTCTGGACTGATTTAGCACAAGAATTGATTTCTTTACATCTAAATAAAACTTGTAATGTTTCTGGTCATGGATGTTATCTGTGTACAACTAGACAATAGGACTCACTTTTTCTTCACAATTGTAAGTAAAATATTCAACTAAAATGAAATTGCATAGAGATGGTTTTCTACTTTGTTTACTATTACTACAGATCTTTTAAAAAATTGAGGTAAAATATGCATGACATAAAATTGCCTATTTTAACCATTTTTTAAGCATCCAATTCTGTGGCATTAAGGACATTCGTTGTTGTGCAACCATCACCAGAGTTCATCTCCAGACATTTTCAACTTCCCCTACTCAAACTCTGCACCCATGAAACACTTCCCATTCTCCCCTCTCCTCCAGCCCCTGGCATGCTCCCCACTGCTGCATTCAGGTATTCTTTCCATTCAGGCCCTTGTTTGAATCTTAGCTCCTTAGAGAGACCTAAATTTAGCACTCTATGTCTTCACTCACCTT